CTTGAGCTCAGGAGTTTGAGGTTGCTGTGAGCTAGGCTGACGCCATGGCACTGTAGCCTGGGCAGCAGAGCGAGACTCTGTTTCAAAAAAAAAAAAATTAAAAAAAAAAGTTGCAGATACCAAATTTTCATTGGGAATGCTTGATTTATATTTAGATTTTTATAACATTTACAGTTGAAAAAAGTAGATTCACATACCCATATTTGTTCTACTAAATGTTCTAAAGTCTTACAAAGCCTGATTTGTGTATCAGATTTTAAATTTAAATTAATTAAAGTTAAACAAAATTCAGTTTCTCATTCACACTAGATGCATAGCTCATGGCTATTGTATTGGACTAAGCAATTCTAACTGAGCCCACACATGAGGTCCCATAATAGCCAGTTTTGTGAACTAGGTACTAGAAACCTGGGGAGATACAGGTGAACAGAGCTTTGCTCACCCATCCTCCTGTCTGCCCAACCATCTGTGAGTCCGCTCATCTAAGAAACATGCCGTATATACCTACCTGTGCCAGTTCTTGGGGCCAGGAGGTGATGCAGCTGAAAGCAAGACTGACAGGTCCCCATCCTCAGGGGAAAGAAACCCCTCAGAAGCTCCCACAATCAGATGTGTCATTCAGATCGGCAGACACACGGAGAGAGCAGAGAGGCAAGTTGGACCTGGCCCGGTCTTGGGGGTTAGAGGAGGTTCCTCTCAGGAGCCACTGAAGCAGATGATCATTTGAAGAAGCGTGCTTTCATCAGTTATTCCTGCAAGAATGTTTGGAAGAAACCAGCTCCAACCTTAGTGGCTACAGCAACAAGCATTTACTTTGATGCTCATGGGCTACATGTTGACTGCGGTTTGACTATCATTAACATAAGCTGGGCCTGGCTGAGTAGTTTTGCTTCAGGCTGTGGGTTGGGCTTAGGTGTCTTCTGTGTTCCTTCTGGAGCCCAGGATGAAGGGGCAGCAGCTCCCAGGGCATGCTCTCTTCGTGGCAGGTCGCTGGAGTGCAAAGAAAAGTAAATCACATGGGCACAATGACGTCAGCACCTCCACTCTCCTTCATTGGTGAAACAAGTCATGTGGCTGAGCCTGACATCCTGAGGTAAGGAAAATATACTCTACCCACAGTGGGTGTAGAAGCGGAGTGAACAATTTGCTCAGTGACAATTAGTTAGCTGAAGGGAGAATAGCACCCCAAGCAGAGCATCCAGGTGAAAGATCCCAAGGTAGGATGAAACACGGGGGGCTTGTTTTCATCACTTTCACTGCCCATGACACCACCCTGGTCCAGGACTCCACTATCTCTTTCTGGACAACTGCCACGGTCTTCTAAATGTGCTTGTGATTTGTCTCCGCAGCCCCCTTGCCACCCCCATTGCAGTGTGTTCTCCACTCAGTAGTCACTTTATAGGCAAAGAAACTGGGAGTCAGCAGTGACTGACTTGGCCAAGGTCACCAACTGTTAAGCAGCAGTGCAATGGGAACCCAGCCAGTGGGACTTCGAATTAGTCAGTCAGTGGTAAGAATAGGGCTTCGGGATCAGACTGGCCTGTGGAGGGATCCTAGTTCTGCCATGTATTTGTTGTGTGAGCTTCAGCATGTGACTGACTTTAGTACTCTCAGTTTTCTCACCTGTAAAATGGACCAATAATAACCATATGGGGTTTTAATGAGGAGTAAAGGAGGTCAAGATTGTAGCAAGTACTGTCGGGGCCCCCAGTGCCTTATTAGTTCATAGTGCTGGGGCCAATATCTGCATCTTATTGCCTGAGGGTTTCCTCCCAAACCACAGGCCTCTCCACACAGGCAGAGTAGAGGTGCTGAGGAATTAACACACCTAGGAGCATTCTTTGACATATGACATATGTTGGTGTATAACTATCCCAGCTCCCTCTCCCATTGGGTGAAATAATTCTGAGGTATGTGTTTGTATTAGTTAGGGTTCTGCAGAGAAACAGAACCAACATGAGATTATGTCTATATATCTACATATGTATATCTATATCTATTATCTCTTAGTCTGTTCAGGATGCTAGAACAAAAATATCATAAACTGAGTGGCTTATAAATGACAAAAATTTATTTCTTACAGTTCTGGAGGGTGGGAAGTCCAAGATCATGGGGCCAGCAGATTCGGTGTCTGGGGAGGGCCCACTTTCTGGTTCATGGATGGGGCCTTCTTACTATGCGCTCACATGGTAGAAGGGGAGCCTCTTTTATAAGGGCACTAATCCCATCCTTGAGGTCTCTACCCTCATGACCTAAGATACTTTCCAAAGGCCTTACCTCCTAATACCATCACCTTGGAGGGTAGAGTTTCAATATATGACTTTGGAGGGGAAGCAAACATTCAGACTATAGCAACATCTATATCTATATATCTGTATCTAGCATGACATTTATTGTAAGGAATTGGCTCATGCAATTATGGAGGCTGAGAAGTCCCGTGATTTGCCATCTGCAAGCTGGACACCCAGGAAAGTTGGTGGTGTGAATTCCAGTTTGAATCGAAAAGGACTGAGAACCAGGAATGCCAATGGTGTAAGTCTCAGTCCAAAGGGAGGGGAAGACTGATGTCTCAGCTTAAGCAGTCAGGCAGAGAGAATTCAACCTTCCTCTGCCTTTTTGTTTGATTTGACCCTCAAGGGGTTCGATGATGTCCACTCTCATGAGGAGGGCAATCTGCGTTACTCAGTCCACCAATTCAAATGTTAATCTTTTTCTCCAGAAATACCCTCACAGACACACCCAGAAATAATATTTAACCAGATATCTGGGTATCCTGTGGCCCAGTCAAGTTGACATATAAAATTAACCATCACAGTGTTTACACTATTTCCCAGAGTTCCCCAGAAGGATTAAGACCCAGATGCCTGCAAGAAATTTGCTTGGTAACACTATTCATTGGCTGTCTTCCCTTCTCTGTCTCCCTTCCCCACTACCCTACTAGTGTTTCCTGAGATCACCTTCCAAATCAACTACCTGCACTCAAATCCTCATCTCAGGGTCTGCTTCTGGGGAACCCAAATGAAAATATAAAATAATTATCTACTCATTCAACAAGTATTTGTTAAGCCCTTCTGTGAGTTGGACCCTGTGTAGATTGTGGGGATATAGCAGTGACCAAGGCACAGTGAATCCTTGTGCTCAGGGAGCTGACAGTCTGGGGAATAGGTGATGGGAAGTAAACAAATAATGCCGACTTTTTGGTTAGTGATAAATATTGTGAAGAAAATGATGTGATAAGTAATGGGAGTAGTTTATACGGGGTGGTCAGAGAGAGCCTCTCTGAAGGGCTGATATTTAAGCTGAGACCTAAAGGACGAAAAGGGGCCAGCCATGAAACAATCTGGGAAAAGAGCATTCCAGAAGATAATAGTAAGTAGGAGACAGGGCAAGGGCAGAAGCAAGGAGACCAGTTAGCAGGCTATTGTGATCGTGGCCTGGGGTAGAGTTGCAGTAGCAGTCCAGAATGAGAAATGGACAGATTTGAGACATTTTGTCGTTAGAGCTGACAGGACTTGCTGACAGATGGAATGTGGAGTTTGAGGGAGGGGAAACGAAAATGACTCTTCAGTTCTTCCTAGTGCAACTGGAAGGATGGTTAGGTCATTTACTGAGACGGGCCAGAATGGCAGGAACAGGTTTTTGGAGAGGGAGTGTGTGTGGAAGTGAAGAGTTCTGTGCAAGTTAGTTTAGAGGTGGTCATCAGACACCCAAGGGGAGGTGCCAAGTGGGCATCTGCGCTATGGCTCTGGAACTCCAGGGAGGGCCCTGCTGAAGAGGCGAATCTGGAAGTCATTAACCTATAGATCAGGTCTGAAATAGAGTGAGAGCCTCATACGTGGATTTAAAATGTCCTAGTAGCCACATCAAAAAAGTGAAAAGAAACAGGTGAAGGCTGGGCGCGGTGGCTCACACCTGTAATCCTAGCACTCTGGGAGGCCAAGGCGGGAGGATCACTTGAGGTCAGGAGTTCGAGACCAGCCTGAGCAAGAGCGAGACCCTGTCTCTACTAAAAAATAGAAAGAAATTAGCTGGACAACTAAAAATATAT